GGAGAAGGGCAAGTCCATGGAGACAGAAAGATCAGTGGTGCCAGGAGCTGAGGGAAGGAGTGGGTGGGGACTGACTGCTTAACGAATGCAGGCTTTCCTTTTGGGGTGATGATGAATGGGCTCAGTTGGCTGGAGCATCCTCCCTATACGCAAAGGATGAGGGTTCAATCCCTGGTCAGGGAACATACAAAAATCAACCAATGAATACATAAATAAATGGAACAACAAATCAATGTTTCTCTCTCTTTCTGCCTCCCTCCAACCCCTGCCTTCCTCTGTCTCTAAAAGTCAATTTAAAAAGAAACAAACAAATGTTTTAGAACAAGTTGGAGGTGGCAGTTGCACAACATTTTAAATGTACTAAATATCGCTGGATTGCGTATCTTTTAATGGTTAAAATGGTAAATTTTATGCTTTGTGAATTGTACCACAAGTTAAAAAAAAAAAGGATACCCTAAAATGTGGTGAGTGCTATGAAGAAAATTGGGCAGGGTGTTGTAAAAGAAAGATTGGGATGGAGCTCATTGAGAATGAGTGGTCAGTGAAGAACTCAGCATTTAACTGAGAAATGAATAATGGATGGACTCAGCCCCTTGAAGTTTTGGGAAAAGAGCAGAGGAGCACAAATGGGTGGAAATTAGGTTGGAGAATAGGCAGAGGGCAGTGAAAGGCATTTGTATGGTCTCTGAGTGCACGGGAAGCTACTGAGAAAGGAAGATGCATGAGCTAATTGGTGTATTAAGAGTACTTGCATCCTGGCTGGTGTGGCTCAATGGACTGTGTGCCGGCCTGTGAACTGAAAGGTCACCAATTCTGTTCCCAGTGGGTTTAGGTCCAGGTCCCCAGTTGGGGGCCATGCAAAAGGTAACCATTTGATATATCTCTCACACATTGATGTTTCTCTCCTTCTCTTTCTCCCTCCCTTCCTCTCTCTAAAAAGATATAAATTTTTTTAATAAAAAGGACAGTTGGCTGCTGTGTGAAGAAAGGTTTGTAGGGGTATGAATATGGCTGCATTAGTAGTGTCTGCAGGCAAGTACAGTCAGGACATTAGTAGTGTCTGCAGGCAAGTACAGTCAGTCCATCCTAGGAAAGAGAACACACTGAGGCTAGGAAGGCTCAGAGCCCCAGGCAGGGTTGCCATGGTTACTGAATGGTTCCCAGGAAATAGAGAGAAGGCAAATGACTAGAAAGACTGTGTCCCACAGCTTCATTATGGTCCAAACCAGACCCATGTGAAGCACCTAAGCTTGGGCAGACATGAGGCAGGAGTAGCTTAATGCTTCTACACAAAGAGGATGCTAAGGAGAGTAACTCAGGCTCAGGGCAGGGCTGCTTCCGAGAGCTGTGCAGGCTCAGCTAGTAGAGAGAGGGGGGCTAGGAGGTAGGAGCCACCTCTTGACCCCAGCTGTGGAGGATGGAGACAGTGGGGCTGGAACCCAGCTGGACTTAGAGCACTCCATAGGCTGGGGTGAGGGGCAGCCAGGGGCACACAGGGGGCATATAGAGACTGTAACACATAGCTGGCTGTGTGCGCAAGAAGAAACACAAAGGACAAGAAGCCAGCTACCTGAATGTGCAGGCTTGGTTCACAGTATGGCTGTGGTCAGCCACGTTAAAGGAGAGAGTGGGGAGGTGGGTGGGGAAGAATGTCTGGTTTCCAGGCCAAGGATGTCCAGAGGGATAAGGAGGTGGCCACAGAGGAGCCAAATTAACACTGACAGCAACTGCCAGTCACAGAAGAAGTTACAGGCCCAGGTGGGGAAGTTTTCTGGGTCACAACAGCAGTTCAAACACATGTCCTGAGTCCTGTGTCCCAGGCAACATCCAGCTCCAGCCCCAAGAAACTGGGATAACTGAGCAAACACAGAAGGGGTCGGAGGGTGTGAAGACTGCAACTCCTAATACAGGGTGTGGGTTCTTGCATTGGTGAAAGGCCACTAGGAGGGAAGGAGATTGCAAAGGTCATAATAATGTGGGCCAGGGGGGCTGACTTAAATCTAGCAGAAACATAATGTTACATGCCTTCCCAGCATGTCATCCTAAGACCACCAATTCCTGCTGAACATCAAATGTGGTCAGAAATATAACAGAACAGCAAACATGATGGCAGATGAGAAAACAACCTAAGCTAAAGATGTATATCTTTCAAAGCGGGGTAAAACATCAAAAGACTCTCACCAAAATATAAAGTAAAAACAAAAAAAACATGCCTGCATTCTCGGGGAGTCCAACTGTAACTGATTTAACCCCAGTTCATGTCTGTGTGTGGCCCCCAAATGTGTGTTTCAGCATCAATAAAACCTCCGAGGTTCTGTAAACTGGAATGCTCCATATGACCAGTGTTTACTCCCACCCTCTCAAGGCACAGCTAGAGAGCACAGATTCGCAGCAACAGGTATACCTTGCCCTGTCCTGGCTTCTAGCATGTGAGCCCTAGACACAGTGAGGGAAGGCCTGCCAGGAAAGAGAGGGTGGGATGGCTGTCTTAGGGGATAAGCAGGATGGGGGCAATGGGCGGGGGGGCGCGGGGGGGAAGCATCATTTCAGGTTTACCCAGACTAAGCTGTGCTCAGGGATCCCAAGGGGCTGGCACATGGCTCAACAGATACAGCAGGTGCTTCCTTCAGGACAAACTTAGTGGGGAAGGGGCACAAACTGGAAATGGAGGGCCTGGGAAGGTGAGGAAGAGGAAGTATCCAACCAAGGGAGGTTGTCCCCACACACTCCTGCCCTGAGCTACCATGTGGCTGCTCTGCACCAAGCCTCGCTCAGGGCATTCCAGTGGGCTGTGATTTGCCAGAGCTTTGTCCAGTTCACCAAAGCCAGCACATAGTAGTGCTGGGTAAGAGAGTGAATGAGGAAATGAAGAAACGAATGAGTGCACAGATCATCTATTGAACTTGAGTCATAACTGAAAAGTGAATGGATAGAAAATCATCTGTCAGTAGACCCAAGGTCAAAGTCATAGGATGTGCTTCCCAACTCCATTTCTTAGTATCTAGATGACTATGGATGGAATGTGTCACTTCTGTGAACTATGGCTTCATCTGAAATGGGGTCACAGGCCTATGGGAGCATTCAAGGGAGGGCACTTGGTAAATGTGAAGTTCACTGACAGGGTGGAGGGTTGTTGAAACCTTGTGTCATGACCAACATGACACGAGGACAGAAAGCAGGTACTGTGTGTGCAGCAAGAAGCTCTTCAGCCTTTGGGGCTCAGCCAACCCTGCAGAGCTCCCCCTTATCTGCCCAGACGGTTCACAGGCAGGACTGAAGCAAAGAGCGGAGATCTGAACAGGATCCTGACCTGGAATACACACATTCCTCAGTGTGTTTCCTTTTTTCCCATTCTTTATGAATTAGAAAATTAATTACCCGGAAAAGAGTTGTCTGCACCAGAAATCCAAATGAGTTTAATGTATAATTTATACATGAAAATGTAGATGTCAATGTGTGACAAATCGTCGTAAAAATATTTTTGCGGTTAAATTTTCAGGCATCTGTCTTCCTCCTAGAAGAGCCACTGAACAGATGATGCGAGGCCCCAGGGCTAAGGCCAGGTGGGGCTGGCAAGGCAGCCAGTCATTTTCACCGGCTAGTGATGCAGCTGCCAGAGCTGTCTGGCCCAGAAGGCCCCAGCCTTAGCACCAGCCACATGCAGCCAAATCCTTGCCCTGCCCCCTTGGGGTCCTGCTGTGTCTCATTCAAAAGGAGGATTTAACACTCTGTGCCAGCTCTGTGCTAGACCCAGGGATGGAAGACAGAATGGAGTAAGGTCTCACAGTCCAGGGATTTTGAGTCTCCTGGAGAAGCGAAGCAAGCAAATGACAAATGACAATGACAATGTGGCAAGTGATAGGCTGTGGCTGTGAGTCCCACAGGCCAAGCAGCTGCAAAGGAGTAAGTACTTCACTGTGCCAGAAGCACCCCTCAAAGACTCCAGGGGAGGGGACTAGTCCTGAACAAGTTTTTCAGGAAGATAAAGGCAGGGGCACATTCCAGTAGGAGAACTACTTGTGCAAAGACAGAGGCCTAGAGTGAGGTGCAAAGTGTGGCCTATGGCACATGGCAAGGACTGTCCAGCAGTGACCCTGCAGTGGAGAGCAAGAGCTAAGTGCCCAAAAGGTCAGCATGCCCAGGACAGAAACAGGACTTTGTTCCCAACTGGAAACTTTAATCGGATTAAGTCTGCATACTCTGGAGAACAGACGGAGGCCACAAGGAAGCTTGTAGGGAGTGAATGAGAGAAGGTGAATGGGTTCTGCAAACTTTTAAGCACAGCATCCACGTAGAGGAGCACCCCCTGCAGGACCCTGGGTCCTGTCCCAAGCCTCAGCAGCCTGCCTGCTTCAGGGTGCCTTCATTCACGGATGCACCAGTCCCTAGGCTTGACTGGCACATGACAGTGGATAAACCACCTGAAGTGTAGGTTGGGCCCTTGCTTCTTGTCTGCGGTTGTACTGCCATTTGGGGCCAGTTACTCATTGTGCAGGGCATTACCCAATACCCCCCTCTCCAGACATCCACTGGAGTACCCTCTCACATGAGGACAGGGAGGAGGGAAACGGTACCCAGTGTTGGCCCTGGCTGAGATCCACTGTGTCGCACATACAAGGGAGGGGGCAACTGCATATCTTGGTTGCACCTGGCCTCTGTCCCAGAACCATTGATGAGGGGTCAAGAATATGCTTCTTCTTCATCAGGCAATCACCAACTTTGTCAAAGACAACCTGAGATCCCAATGGTATCCTCCCAGAGCTTGAGCTTCCCACAACAAGACAAAGCCATTCCCCATTCCCCAAAAGCATCATGGTCCCTGGGTAACCTCCTTGGAGCCCTACAGACCTGGTTAAAATATTAAGGCCCGTACTAATAGAACCAGATGCTCACAGAACAAGGGTTTCAAGCTCCAACCCCACATCACACCAGTGCCCATTTTAAAGAAGAGCCTAGCCTGGCATCAGTAATCAGTCCCTTGGTAACTCCCTAGCACATACCTCGCTTGACCTTCGGGGGCCTGAGTCCCTCTGCCTCGGCCAGGGCCTCCCAAGCCTCGTGCTCCCGCCAGCGCCTCAGCTGCTCCTCTCGCATTTTGTAGAAAAGGATGTGCTTCTGCACATCACTGAGCTCAGTGAGGAGCTCAGGGTCAATGTACATGTCGTGCAGGATCTGCTGTAGCATGATGCCACCTGGATGCACACGCCAGAAGGGCAGCCAGACAGGGAAACCCAGACAGGCTACTCTTCGCCCAGCTTCTCACTCCAAGGCCACTCCAAGAGCCCCTTCTCTGTGTAGCATCATTCGTTACCCTGCCTCAGCTCCCAGGAAGCGACAAACTCATCTCCTCTGCCCAGGACAGCAACAGGGGTTGGTAGCAGGAAGCCAAGAGGCAGCTGCAACCCTACAAGGGGAAGCAGGCACCAGGAACAATCTAGTCCTTCTGTTGGGTCACCAAGCACCGCATCGCAGGAGCACCTGTATCTTGGCTTCCCCTGGGGTTCAGGGACAATGAGGAGGGTCAAAGCTTCCAGTTCTGCAGGACAATGCCCAGGCACAGCCCTGCCTGGGCCACAGGTGTCGAGTGATCTGTTAGTGGAAGGTAACAATGACACCAGCTGTATCAATGACACTGCCCCAGCCAGCCAGGAACCGATCTCTCCTCCGCAGGTAAGAGGAGGAGGAGGAGGCAGCTTTGCCTACTAATTCCGTATCTTTTGAGCCAATTTCAAACAGGACAGTGCAGCCAGCCAGCAGCTTCTAGGCTCCTCAGCCATTCCCTCCACCTGCTCCACATTTTCAGTCTTCCTCTCCAGGTATTTGGCATTCTGAGGTAATGCTTTTAAAACTCTGCTGGAGGGGAGGAAAGGGCTTCCTTCTGCGTCATAGCAAGAAAGAAAACAAAATGCAACCAGGAGGGACAACTGAAAGGGCTTTATCACGGAATTCAAGGACACAAAAGAGACAGACATCCTCTCCCCTTTCCCTATATTGAAGTTTTAAAGCTATACATGTGCTGACAGTTTAACCCTCAATTTTGGTTGCTATCATTGATCGTTTCGTTGTTTGTTGCAGGTGTCTGAAAATGACCAAAAAGAATGAAACCACATCTTTCTTCTCTGTCCCCAGAATCTGAAGTATCCTGGACAGATCAGGATGGGAGCTGCAGCTGTTGAGACCAAACGCGGTGACTAACAGGTACTCAAGGCTCCTGACTGCTGCCCTTGTATTCAGATAAGGAAATTGGGGCTCAGAGACCTGACTAGCCTATACTACAAAATCAATAACTTGCCACATTGGGACTCTATCCAATTTTTAATTTTGACATCCACTGGCAACTATGAATCTTTTGATGGCTTAAAAATTTACCCCAGCTGGGAGAAAATAAACAGGGTTTGGCACTGTGGTCTGGTTGCCTTGGTGATCTTCATGTCCCCTTCCTCCCCATGAGGACCAAAGGTGGATCAGGCACCCAAGAGTGGTGCACCGCAGGTAACAGGAAGAAAAATTAAGGGGGTTCAGAAGAGCTTTAAGCCCATAGCACCAAAAAAGAAGTGTGGAGGGCCAGGCTGCCCCTCCCCGAGGTGCAGCTGGCTTGTCCCGGCGTGACCCATAAGGCAGGGCTTCCGCACAGAGGCTCCTGCCTCACAGCATTGTGCTCTGGACTGTGTCCCGCCCTGCCCTCTCCTCTGCCTTCCCCTTCCCTTCCCGCGACCTCACGCTTTGCCTGGACTACCTCCACTCGGCGTCCTGACCCCTCAGGTTCTTCTTTTCTAGTTCTTTATTGTTACTCTATTACAGCTGTCCCAGTCCCCCCCTGCTCCCCTCAGGTACTTAGGCCCACAACCTTCTCCAGGCCCCCCGCCCGCCTCATAACTCTTCTCTTTCGCGCCCTAACCGTGGCTGGGTGGGAGCCTGAATCCAGAGATGACACGAAGGAAGCTGCTGACAGCCTCCCTCCCTCTTTCTGAGTGCCCCGGTCTTCCGCAAGAACTGGAGGGCTGAGAGCAATGCAGAAGCAGCCGGAAGGGGCAGGCTGCGTGCGGACTGGTGGCCTGGCGTCCTAGCAGACGGGCGAGGGTGTCCTGCTCGCGACACAGCGTTCGGGAGGGTGGGCGGTCACCAGATGGGAATGACCTCCGTGGTACCTTGTTTTTGTGCCGTAACACAGCGGGGGGCGCTCCCTAGCACTCCCAGGTCAGTGGGGCTGCAGGCCGGGCCAGAGCGCAGCCTGAGCGCCAGCTGGATCCGGTTTCCGGAAAGATCCGCAGGAGCGGCTCTGCTGGGAGCTGTTCAGCTAGGAGCCCAGCGCGGCGCCATCTCCCGCCTGGCGCCCGCCCGCCAATCTGCCCGCCCAGGCGGAATTGGCCCGCTCAGTCGGGCCTTGGGCGCCCCCTGGCGCCCTAGAGAAGAGGGACAGCCAGCATGTGGGTAGACTTACACTGAGTGGGCCGGGTTGCACAGGGACGCGCCAGGACCTCAGAGTAAGGGGACCTCTCTCCAGCCCTGAGAAGGAGACACAGCAGCTGTGAATGTCTCAGATCCCAGTGGCAGGGACTGCGCACGGAACAAGCCTGCGGCGGTTCCGTCGGGGGAGTACCTGATGACTAAAAACGAGGCCGGGGCCCTGGGGTATTCAGACACGAGTTTCTGTCTCCTTTCACCTGGTTTTATTTTGTTTCCATTTTTCATTGGCCCGGATGCGATGTATTTAATTTTGCATGCTAAGCGGTTTCTTCTGGGGCAGGGATGTTCGCACACAACTGGAAACCACCAGAATGTCCACTCTGTGGGGTTGGGGGCCTCCTGTCACAAAGAACGAGGTCGTCAATAGGTCTGCTTTGGCAAGGAAAAATGTCCAGGGCAGATAAAGTGAAAAGCCGACATGCAGAATATTGTGCCACGTGTAATCCACTTTTTAAATTCTGCATTTATTTTGAGCAAAGAAAAAATATGGAAGAACACACGTGGTTTTCTGCTTTCTTCTGGGAAGGGAGAGGGAGACCTCTTTAAATAAGTCCATATTTTTTTATGCAATGAGTAAGATACATAATTCATATGACTGAAATAAAATGTACTTCAAAAATCCTAGCCCTGGCTGGCGTAGCTCAGTGGATTGAGCTCGGGCTGCGAACCAAAGTGTCGCAGGTTCGATTCCCAGTCAGGGTACATGCCTAGGTTGCAGGCCATGACCCCCAGCAACCGCACATTGATGTTTCTCTCTCTCTATCTCCCTCCCTTCCCGCTCTAAAAATAAATAAATAAATTCTTTAAAAAAAAATCCTTTAAAAATGTGACTCCAAAAATTGGCTTTTGGAAGTCAGTGCTGGTGGTGCAGGCACAGCCTAGTCCACACCTGCACCCAGGCCCAGAGAGGGACAGGTGCAAGCAAAGCGAGACCTCCCTAGCCAAGGAGGCTACTGTTGGAATGGATAAGCCATTCGTGTCATCAGAAACTCTGAGCCTGGAGACATTTCTCAGACAGCTCTGGAGTTGGCTTGGGGAGGAGACTGAAAGAACACTGGAGGCAAGAAGAACAGTCAGGAAACTTTGACCGAAGAAGTATATTGCAAGAGCTGCCAGTGTGAATCAAGGAGGGCAGAATTGGGAGATATTCCTTATCCCAGAGTCTCCTCCTATCAGGTGTCTCTGCTTCCACTTAAAATCCTTTTGAAACTTAAATCAGATCACATCATTTTCTGCTAAAAAACCTTGCAATGGCTCCCATTTTATTCAGAGTCAAAGCCCAACTCCTTACAGGGGCTCACAATCTGCTTCACTCCCCCACCTCCTCAGGTAACCCCTCCCCCACTCTCCCTCCATAATTGGCTCCCCCCTACTGTTCTCCTTGGCTATCTGCAGACATATCAGGCACCCTCCCTCCCCAGGGCCTTACCACCGGCTATTTCTTCTGTCTGGAATCCACATGGCTCAATCACCTTCTTCGAGTCAAACTTTTAGATCCTCTATACGCCTGATCCTCCTTATTCTGCTCAATTTTTCCCTTATCACTTTATGTTGTAAATATCATTTTACTTGTGTATTTGTCTATCTCTCCTTAGTGGATACCAAACAACACAGGGCAGGTGCTCCACTGATGCCTTCAGTGCCTAGAACACTGCTCAGCATGCAGCATGTGCTAGATAAATACCTGGAAAAGAGAATGAATGAAGGAACTTTCAAGGTGGAATTGATTAAAGCCTGTGCATACACTGGGAAGGCATCCAGAACAGGATTCTGAAGAAAGGCTTCTGGATATGTGAACCTGAGAGTCATGAGCAGATGGGTGGAACGTGTGGGGCACTAGGTGGACTGGCCTAGGCTGCCTGCCAGGGCTGTCCTCTCATACCCTAACCGACCCCCATCATCTTGGCCTTGGAAACACCGGGGCACAGACACCACATAAGAATCAGCTGCAGGAAGGCTCTCCTTACATTTTGCCCACCTCCCCTATGCATAGTCCCTTGAGGAAGCTGCTCTCCCAAGAGCACATCTAGGATCTCATCTGGGCTCAGTTTTGCAATCCAAGGGCTCAGTGAAAGTCTAGAGTAGTTTCTGCCTTGTCACCAGTTAAGCTCTGCTGAAAAATTATGGCCATAGAAATCAATAGTGTCCCTGTATGAGTGCAACGATTACTTAGATAAAGCAAGTTGAAAAAGACCCTGTTGACAATGGGAAGCAGCTGGATATGAAAGACTGGAATGAGTTTAACAATTTGAGGACCTATGTGGAAAAATAAAAATCTTCACTGAGAACATACCTACAATTTAAGTGTGTACAGGAGCACAGCACATTCACAATCAGAAACACCTTGTGCTATAAAGTGTTCAGTTCACCCCTGTATTAGCAAACCTCCAAGAGGACTCTGATGATCCCTGCCTCCTGGTATTCATAACCTTGCATGGCCCCTCTCAATCATATCAGGGTTGGTCTGTATGATCAAAGGAATGTGCCAGAAGTGATGATCTGTCTGTCACCTTTGAGATTATGCAATAAAGATATTTTGGCATCCCCTTTGAGTTGTCTTCCCCTCTTCACTCACTCTGAGGACCATGTTATGAGACCCACATGGTGAGGAACTTCGGCCTCCTGCCTCCTTGCATGAATGAGATTGGCAGAGGATCCGGTGAGGTGAGGCTGCAGCCCCGGCCAACAATTTCACTCACAAAGGACTCTGAGCCAGAATCAACCAGCAAAGCTGATGCTATAACCCTTCTACAAGGTGTGCCTAGAATGTATCCAGCCATGTAATATGAAAAAGAGACATTTATTGAAGAAGATACAAGATACAAGAAACATTGTACATAGGACAATGATGCCTCAGTCCCCTTCAAAGTAGGAACCTTGGGACATCACACAGTTCTCGCAATTGCCATCAGCTGCCCTGTTGTATTATCCTGAATCTCATCCATGGTCTGAAATCTCTTCCCTTTCAAAGGTGATTTTAGTTTTGGGAAAAGCCAGGAGTCGAAGGGCACCAAAACTGGGCTGTAAGAGGGCTGAGTCACCTGGATGATTTGATGTCTCACCCAAAACTCTGCATAAGATGTGATGCATGAGTGGGTGCATTGTGACAAAGGTGCCAATCACCAGTTGTCCATAGCTACAGCCTTCTGAATCATCCAAATAGTTTCCACAGAAGAATGCTCACACTTAAGACAAAATCTGATGCAAACTCATTGCTCTACTTGCTCATTTTGAATTCAACAGCCACACAGTACACACATCCTCACTCAACAGCATCTACCACCCTCACTGACTAGGGCAGTGAAGTTGTCATTGTTCACACATGCACATTCCAGTCCAGTCTACTCTCTTTGGCTGCCAGGTTACATCGATGTCACACAGGCTGTTCTCATAATATTAACAATGGCTGGGCTATTTCTGGACAGACCTCACATATATAGTTTTAAACTGCTAACCTTCCAGGTGATTTGTTAAGCATAAATACATAACTAATAAAACCTCAAATTAATTTATACATTTAATTTTAAATCAAATCTGAAAATTAATTGGGAAGTGTAGAAGAAGCTTGATAAAATGATTTCCAAGTTAGCTAAAAGAATTAACAGATGAGAACAGCGCACAAAATAATAAGGAATATTGAACTCTACTGCCAGTATTTAAATGTATAAAATCAAACAGTTCAGTTTTGACATAAGAACAGGCAGAGTGAAGTGAGAAAGCCCAAACGCAGATCCAAATACAAATGTAATTATTTAGTGTATTATCAAATGGTGGTTAACAATCAGGGAAACGATGGATGTTCATTCAATAAGCAGAGCAGGAATAACCAACCAGATACTCACCTGTTGTTGCCGTGGTCCTACCAGGACATACCTCAGTAGTTACGATCTCTGGGGGCTTTGTTACATGTACAAGGTTAATTACTGCAACATGAGTCATTGTAGTGAAAATTTCAGCATAGCTCACGGGTTCAGCAAACGGGGTTTAGATGAGTCAACTGTGGCATGTCTATAGGATACAATGCTCTACAGCCATTAGAACTGGTATGTGAGAATATCCGTTGGTATAAGAAGGTGGTCACACTGTATTGTTACACTAAGGGGGAAAGCAAGCTGTAGAATATTATGTGTGGTGTGGCCCCAGGTTTATGCATCAAGAAAATGAATATTTTAACCCCTATGTCTTTCTAAGAAAATTAAGCAGATCCTATTAAAAGGAAAGGCCCATGATCTAGAAACCTTGCTCAACTCAGATAGGCATGTTGGGGGGGCCAAGCTAGGATG